ACTGGGCCATCCAACTTAATTCTGCATTTAGAGAGCATAATTTGCTTTATTCCTATCACATGTCCAAGTCACACTTTTGCAGTATTTGGGGGGAGGGGGAAGGGGGTTAGGCCAAACTTGTCAGAAAACAGATTCATATTTTTATTCAAACATCTAAGGACAAGACCCACTTGAATTCATCCCCTGCCACAGAAATTTCACTTGGTGAGTTGCCCTGCATAAATCTGCACATAACACACTTTTCCAGCAGGCAATATTTTGTAAGGCTTAGCATCTGACAGATACAGCCCTTTCAAGGAAAATAGTATGAAACTGTCATGATTACTTGAGCAGACATCACTGACAAAAGCAAATTTGTGCCTGAACTGTTGCTGCAGAAATATTTCAGGCAGTATTTTTTCAAAGAGAATATAGATCTGGAGGGACATTGCCAAGGTTTTAAAGATCAAAATGTGTTACTTGAAGTGCTATAATTGGATGGAAACAGTCCTCCAGATCTGAAACATCAGGTTCAGTTTGGTTTTTAAATCAAACACCACATTTGCAGAATTTCTGTAGGACCTATATATCCCAGCTCCTGTTTCCCCCACTCGGTAACAGTGAGCTCTGCTGACAGAGCCAATGAGTCCAACAGGGGTAAACAAATCCCTTCTGACACGACAGAGTGTCACACAGTCAAACACTGCAATTCATGTAAAAAAAAAAACAAAAACCACCAGACTGCTTTGAATCTAACTCCAGTGGGAACGTTAGGGCTTGCTTTAAACTCCCATTTGCCAAATGAGGAGCAGACCAATTACTCATTCTCTTAAAGCAGCACTATGGAAACAAAGGCAGTACCCAGCTGTCGGTGGTATTTAAGGCAAAGTAACCAGGAGAAATGGCACCGTCTCCTCATCGGGATATGGGATCATGCTCCAGCTCATAAGCAGAGCAGGGGTCCCCCCTGGCCACTGGAACAGTGACATTATCCAGGCTGCAGGTGCAGCCTGAGTCTTCCTGCAGCAACCCACCACCTGACACTTTCCCCATGGCCCACTCTGCCCCCTCCAACAACCATCCAAGGGCTCCCCTGCCCTATTTTGAGAGGGGCTGGACAGTGTAGAGGAGCCCCACAACAGCTTTCCTTCTGCCAGTACCACATACCACCATCTACCCCAAACTGGCCTGAGGCTGTGGCTGGGACCAGGTTTGGTGCTGGCAGTTGTGATGCTCTCAGAGACCTCATGGGCATCTGACTCTTTTGTCAAGGGTCCCTGGACGTTTCCTAACATCACCCCACAGTGAGTGTCTGGCTGTGGCACTGGGAGCCCCACTCATGGAAAAACCTTATGAGGTGCGTGTCACCTCAGACATAACATCGTGGCATCCTTCACCCTCCAGCTCCAGACAAAAGCAGCCATCCCAGCTCACCCACCAGGAGGCTGGCAATCCACAGCTGCCCCAGGTTTGATGGCTGCAGAGACACCTGATGACCCTCACCCCCATCAGCAGCACAGCCAGGACTTCCAGCATCCCTACAATGAACTTGTTTGCAATTTTGATCAGTGAGAGAGGAAAAAAAGAAAAAGAAGGAAAAAAAAAAAAGGAAATAAAGATAGTGTCTAATTTTAGTTCTGTACAGCCCCTCAGCACTAACATTAAAAATAGATATGATGGAATGGAAAAAAATCCACAAACTAAAAAGACACTGCAGGACCAAGAAAATGTTGCTCTTTTAGCAAAATTTGGAAAGTCAAAAAAAAATGTTCCCTTTTTAAGAAAACACATCTCTTTTTTTCCCCATGCAAACCAAAACGAATGAACACTTTTTCATAGCTGTTAAAAAGTTTGGCTTTTAAACTTCTTGTTTGTTTGTTATCTCACAATACTTAACCAAGACCAGCTTTCAAAAGAAAAAGTGTGGATCAAAACCTTTTAAAGAGGTCTAACAGTCAATATTTGTTTCTAGAAGGGACAAATAAATCCAAGGATTTCCTACCCAACCTTGACAAAATACACCTATAAATTCTTAAAGAGATGCCGTTTCCTAATTTCACATCTAATTTGAACATGGCCAAAATCAAAAAGGCAAACTTTATTGCGTAGCTGTAATGAGGAAAAAGCCAACTAACTTCTCCCAACTAACCTCTCCTCTAAAGTAAGCTGAGCAGTCCCTCAGGAAGGGGAAGGCATGTGATGAGCTGCAAAATACATTCACCTTACTGATTAATCCTGAAAAACTCAGCTGACAGCAGAAAGCCGCTTACCCTTCTGCAACCCCTTCTGATCCTTCCTCAGCCCCTCTGAGGGCATGCCCATTACCTGGCTGGTCAGGATCAGGATGAGGTTCAGCCTCTGCTGAGGCACACCAGTCACGTGAAACAAAAGCAAAGAATGCCAGGTGAGAACATAATCACAGCCCTGTCAAACACCTCCATCTCTGCCACGCCATCGGCTCTACCTGCCCTTGCAGCAGCTCCGAGTGCTGGCAGACAAACCAGGCCGTGGCGTGACACCGGCTGTGCATCGCGTTGGCGTCTCCTGTCTCTGCACCCGCCTCTGCCTGCGGCCACACAAAATCCAGATTTGGTCACATGCACATGGGAGGGTAAAATGACATTGCTGACTTCTGGTTAATCTGTGTTTCAAGGGCCACTGCCACGGACAGATCTGTCAGCCCACCAAAATTATAAAGGTGATACTGAACTGAGGCTGGTCCGCTGAATTCAGGCTGGTCTTTCAATAATTGGGACTCATCAGCTGCACACCTCAAAATGCTGAAAAAAACCAAGAAAGCACAGCCTTCAAACATGCATGGGTAAATGAATGAGAACACCTCCATCAGAATTTCCACCATATTAATGTTTTCAAAGAGGAGCTTTTTGATGTATATGCCTTTTATTCAGAATATCAATACCTTGATTTTTGCAAATAAAATCTGTCCTGATTTGGCTATGGAGTTACACAGGCATTTCAGGACATCACTACTTTCAAGCCCAAGACTTATCTTCATGTGCCCTATTCTTGTGCTTAGTTTCCTGAGAAAGGTCCCAAGTAACTGGATGATACCTTCTTCCTTCTTGGTTTTGGTTCACTTTGCAAATGATACTTGCCCACATTGACTGGAACACAGCTCCAAGGATATGCCTGGGGAATTGAAGAAACAGGTGCAAATTCACACCAAACTCGTCAGCTCTTGCAGCAGTGGCTCCCATACATGAACAGACCTGGAAGCTCACTGCAGACACGTGTACCCCTGGTTTCAGAGCATCAGAGCAATGGCTAGCTCTGTGTTTCCCCAGAGCAAGCACTTTCCTCTGCAGGAGGCACTCCAGGATCCAAGACAGTGAGCTATTCATTGAAAGTTGAAGTTATTTCAAGCTTCAGACTATTAGGACTACTAACAATTAACATCCTAAAGTAGTTGTCTACCCTGTCTGCTCCCAAAACATATAACACAACCAACACATTATAAAAATTTTGCTGAGGGATCCTGATTCATCTAACTGTAAATCACTGAGAAAGTTGTAATTAAAATATTTTTAAACAAGCCACCAACAAAGTCTGCAGTCAGATACCTGATTTTATATGCATGTTTACAAATATGAGAGCTGTCTTAATGTTCTACATGCTCTATCTCTACTTAAAACCAACTAGTCATGGCCAAGCAACATTGATGTACATGCTTAACTTCAAAGTCATGAGTAAGTCCAATGGATTTTTCTCATCTCTAACCTGCATTTAGGGAGACAAGAACATGAAGCCTATCAGAACCTGTGCGATCATTCCAAGTTCCAGATTCACAGATGTGCTAGTGAAGGTCACTTAAAACCAATTCCAGCCATGCTTTCAGTTCCTGAGTATTCCCACTGATGGTGGTGCTGACAGAACTGTCCTATCTCAACTGCCTCCCGTGCATCAACTTTAGGGATTGGGCCCTGTAAGCCAACACAGAGCTCAGTACCCACTGAAGCACCTTCCCAGACAACTCTAAAGCATTTCATTGCCTGAGCCAAAGTCTTACAACTATATGGTATCCCATGCCTACTTATATCCCAAATTGCTTTGCAGCCTTCATGGGTTTGCTATGTCTGTTGGTAAAGAGCACAAAGCACCCACTGCTGAAACACATCAGGCTTTTAGCAACAAATCCCAGTTCTTTAGCCTTGCCTAGCAATAGCAGAGAGCAGACAGGGGCAGGGAGTGAAAACATAATAATAATAATTCACAAACACAGAAGAAATTTGGCCAACACACATTCCAGATGAGTGTTTGGGAGATTATACATTAACACTGACATTTCACTCCTGAATAAAAACATTCTGTAGTAGTGATTGCAAACTTCTGCAAAGAACAAGAAACAGTGATCAGCTCCTTTCTGTAGGACTGTGTTTTTCTCCAGCTTTCCTTGACTGTCTGAAAAAGAACTGGGAGTGGTTCTTACCTGCAGACACTGTAATATATGCACCCAAAGTATGAGCAGCTATCAAATAAAATTCCCTTGAAACTTTGCCAAATCATAGAATTTTTTAGGTTGGAAAAGACCTTTCAGATCAACGAGTCCAACTGTTAACCCAACACTCCCAAGTCCACCACCAAACAATGCCCTCAAGTGCCACATCTACGTGGCTTTTAAATACCTCCAGTGATGGTGACTCAATCACCTTCCTCAGTAGCCTGTTCCAATGCCTGACAGCCCTTTCAGTGACGAAGTTTTTCCCAATATCCAACCTAAACTTCCCGTGGTGCAACTTGAGACCATTTCCTCTTATCCCATTACTTGCTACTTGAGAGAAGAGACCAACCCCTGCTTCACCACAGCCTACTTTCAGATAGTTCTAGGGAGAAATAAGGTCTCTTCCTGAGCCTCCTTTTCTCCAGGCTAAACACCCCAGCTCCCTCAGCCATTCCTCACAAGACTTGTGTTCCAGCTCCTTCACCAGCTTCATTGCCTTTCTCTGGACACGCTCCAGTACCTCAGTGTCCTTCTTGTAGTGAGAGGCCCAGAACTGAACACAAGACTCAAGATGCACCCTCACCACTGCTGAGTACAGGGGAACGATCACTGCCCTGGTCCTGTTGGTCACACCATTGCTGATACAAGCCAGGATGCTGTTACATCTGATCCACCAGGGCACACCCCTGGCTCATACTGAGGTGCAGTCAACCAGCACCTCCAGGGCCTTTTCATTAAAGCATCAATCATTTTCTTCCATGGAAGAAAGCTGTGCCAGTCATACCTCTTCCATTTTTGTCCTCAACCGACTCCTGTAAAGATAAGATATTAACACAAACCAGTAGTGACAAATGCTCCACTTCCCAGAAGTCTGTCCCACTTGGATGGGGGATCTGTTTTTGAACACGAACAAAAATGTAGATGGAAAGGTCCTGTTGTCCTCTAGAGCTCTAGTTTGCCCATGTGTGTTTTAAATAAGTGTTTACCTTGGTTCCACCTGCACAGTAAGACAAAATGAAATACAGTTGAAATAGTCCAAGTAGCACGTGACAGCTGAGTCAAGTACAATGGTCTCTTCCAAAGTGGTATAAACCTCTTCCTGACCTGAAGGAGAAAACAAATCAGACTGACCCCAAGAAACAGCTTATCTGCACAATGGGAGACACTTGTACACATCACTTGCATTGTTCCTGATCTCTGTACTCATCCATGTCCACATCTGAATCAAAGAGGGAGTGTCCAGTGTAATCGGTATCAGGCGTTTGGGAAATACTATTCCCTTCCTCATCAAATGTTTCTGTCCTTGAATAAAAACTGAAGTCCTGCAAAGGGGAGTAAGTCTTGCTTGCTTCGCTGCTTTCCTCGGATTCATACAGAGTGTTATCATCATCGTGGTGCCATTCTGGCCAAAATTTCCTCCTTATTCTTTCACAATACATAGCAAGGTTAATCAGTTCACCTGCAACACAGTGCAACAGATTTCAATAAATAGATCCAGTCAATAATGCTCGAACTCACCTGCTAAACACATAAGCATTGTTTGGAAAGAAATTGTGCAGGGTCTTTCCAAAGAGTTTTCAAAATTCCAAGATCCCATCAATCCTCTTAGCAGCTCTGTTTGTAACTTTCATCTAGCTTAAAACCCATATTATTAACCCATACACAACAAGAAAGGTTACGCAGGAATAAACACATATGTATGTTCATGCAAATAGAAAAATACATCTCCCAAATTCAACATCTAAAGAAATCAATCAAGACAAGACACTAATATTGTAAAGTTTTCATAGGAAAATTTTTTGCTTAATTGCAGACACCTAGTTCCTAACGACAGAATTTGATCCTATATATGCACGATACACTTACTAAATGCAGTGAATTTAGATTTTCCACCACCAGATGGCAGCGCTGTCTGCAACATAAATTCACATTTTTAAGTTTTCATATGGTCACTGGTTCACTCCTAGTGTTCCCAGCCTTAGTACCTTACACCTTATGTTTATACATACATGTATGCTTACAGAATAAATCATTAAAAAATTCAAAGAAGAAACAAATAATAGCATGTTAAAAGGGAGCTGTATGTGAAACCGGTACTCACGGTAGCATGAGTAGGTGGATGGGTACAAAGAATCAACCTTGGGTATACCTGCTTGGGTATTTCCATCTGTTACTTTCTATTTATTTTCATTAGAGACAAACTAATTCAACAAACACAGTATTCCTTCTAGAAAGCCATGAGCCCTTCAGAATTTCATCTGTGATTCTCCAGACACCAAGGCGAAGAACTGTATAGCCAATACTTACTTCCCCATCTCAAGTGCTCATTATTTGAGGAAAAGAGTAAGTCTATGCCTCCTAACTGTCGATTTAGCAGAGCTCTCCTGTACAGAGTAGATTTACAGGTCAGATTCTTTCCTTTTACACCTATTTCACATCCTTTTCCTCCTTAGCTCTTCCCATTTTTCACACTGAGTGGTTTTATTCTGAAAAGGGATGTAAAGATACTTTAACATCTACACCACTCCACAAGAAAAAAAACCCCTCTGTGGTAGGGAGGAGTATGCTGGTTTCCAGCTCATGCCAAAACACAGTGACTCCAAAGTCAGGTTGGATTTTTTCCTTGTCCAGCATCTTCAGTAAAAGCAAAGGCTGTAATTTCAGTGGGACCATAGCACTTGCAGTTCTACTATAAAGGAAACTACTCAGTTCAGCAGAGTTTGGCTCATGGTTCTGCTTCTGTCTTCTCATACGTTATCCAGCGTTCATTCCTCAGAGGCTTTACGCCTTTGCCATTTTAAACAAGGAAAAGATCAAGTACACGAATAGAAACAATTACTGTCTAGAACACTAAAGAGAAAATAAATGTGAATTTTAAGAGAAAACAACATTACAATATACAAATGCTACATCAAAGGCAAGAACAGTCTGTGATGCAGCTGAAGTACTGCAGTCTTCAAAATGTCCTTCCAAGGTGCTGCAAGTGTAAACATGGAAAATGCCACCAAGAGCTTTTCATCAGAGATATCTTAAGCTTTCTTACCTTTGATTAGTCTCTCTGGTCGAGTCCCTGGTAGCGTCCACATTGCCTGTGCCAGATGTCCAAAGACGGTGGCATCAACGGTGGAAACAGTTGATCCCATAATGTACTTCTTGTCACCTGTAAATACAACAGAAAACATTTCTTGACTGGTTGTCACTCTTCCGCAATTAAAAAAAAAAATTCCATGGTTACATCTTTAGCTTTTTTTTTTTTTTTAGTAAAATCAATTAAATGAAAAGGTTCACTACCTTAAAGACAGGAATTCAACACTGAATATGACTGCAAAGCCATTGCTAGGGTGAAATCCATAACTGCAGCTTGCCCCATGCTCACTCACAGCTTCTATAACCAGGCCAATAACAGAGCCACCACTGGCCAAGGAACCTCCTCCACTCCTCACAGCTGGCAGCACTCACACACTGTACTAGTTCTACTGCATTTAAAACCTGCTCTGCAGCCAGGAGGTGCCTGACAGCACGATTTTCATCTTGCTGCAAACCCAAAACTCTTCAACCATGGTTCAAAATCATGAACTTGCTGACAGAAGCTGGTCACGTGCGTGCACCCCTCATGCATGCAGATCCAGTTTCGATCTGATCTGATCAGCCAAAAAAAGAAACAGATGGATAACTAACTAAGACAGGGAAGAAAAATCATGTTTCAAAGCCACTGTTTGCAACAAAACATCCAGTATAAACTTGTTTTCCCATCACAGGAATGAGACCTGGAGCAAAGACCACACATAGAGCACGCAGGTGAAACAGGCAGTATTGCAGAGGTCAGGTTAACCGGTTGCACTGTTCCTGCCTTGGCCTGAAGTGCTATAAACTCTGTGAAATGTGGTATGTAATTGAATTCTCAAAATCCAGTTATCCCATCTCCCCAGGACATTCTTCCCCTGACCATAGTAAGCCGCCTGTAATTCAGCAGGTTATTAAATGTTAGGGTTATTGAGCGAGTCTAGAGGAACTGTCCAGCAGTAAAATGCATCAAATTCCAGTGTACAGTATAAGGAATGCTGCCAAAGCGGTGCTCAGGAATAACCAGTAACAATAACCTCCTCTGGCCTGTCAGATGTCATTTTAACATGGAGTTAAATCTCCCCAGCTCTTTCACAGCTGCATCAATCTATTGTTTGAAAACTCTGTACAGGGTAAATGTTGTGTCTTTTCAGTATTTATCTGACACCTAAGGATTCATTGATCTCAAAAACAGCTCAAAAATTGGTCCCTAAGCCACAGTTATATGCCATCACTAGGAATTTAGCATCATACAACTGGGCCTTGAGATTCAATCCATAGTGATTTGTGCTGGGAAGTAATACTGTCATTTCCATCTTGCTACAACTAAGGCAGGCAGTGAGCGAGGGCTGGACCATCCCTCTCTCTGGTTCACCACGCACAACACACCCTACACCCTGAGGTGCACGGAAACAAAGGGCAAGAGGAGGAAATAAAACTGTGGGTTCATAAAACTGTAAATCTGGTTTTAAGTCATGTTGCACCACATAATATGGCCTCTATGCACATTTTCCCCACCAGTTCCAATTTGTTCTCAAAAATTCCAGTGCAACTCTCGTCCACAAGACTTTCTGACAGACCAGATATCTCTGTGTTCGTTTTTAGGCCAGATTACAAAGTGCCTGTCACATCAAGGCTGCCACAATGCTGATCATCTCAAACACCTCTCTGCATCCCCTGGCTAATCCAACAGAAATGAAATCACCTAGTCACACTGGACTTGGATCAAATATGTACTGCCTGGGAATTTGAGAGCACACAGCTCCACTATTTACAAAGGCATACACCAGAGAATTCAAAAGCAGCTACTTCAGCACTGGGTCAAGAAACACCGGCAAGAAACAGATCTGAGACACAGGCAGAAGACCTGCACCCTTCCAACAGCAGCATGGTCAGCCCTTGCAGGCTGCTACAGAGCATTTCAACTAACTTTAGAGGCTCACATTCAGTTAGACCCACCTCTGTGTTTCAGCTCTGAGCACCCCTGCCCTTCACAAAGCATCAAGTGCTTTCAAAATCCAGTTCAGGAAGCTGCTGCCCTGCAACTCCCTGCTAAAATCCCCATCTCCCAAAAAAAGCCTGAGGCAGGCAGACAGCTGAAAGGGCACCAAGAGACTTATGGGGATTGCTCACTCACTTACCTCTTTTAAACAATTACCAAAATGTATATTTATATATATCACTAATTCATATGCTCATTCCCCACAATTTCTTACAGTACTAGCAGGCAGTAAGAAACAGCTACAAGAAAATTACATTTGTGGTTTAAAGACTTCAGGACAAAGAGCAAGATGATACCAGTGTAGCAAACCGATCCATCACAGGAGGGTTAGTTCCAATTTCCATGTCTATAAGAGATCTGGAGAAGTATGTCAGGGAAATGGGTACAAGGGAGAGAGAAAAATGATTCTCAGCAATGAAAAATAATAAAAAAAAAAGCACCCAAGATGTGACTGGGAATGTCAAAATGAGTGTCATAAGAACTGGCAGCTGCCACGTTATCATTCTCTGGAAGCAGCTCTTAAAATTTAAAAGTTATTCTTGTTCCCACGTGAATGGTCCCTGTTAAAAAATGGGGAGCATTAATCTGATATGCCTGATAACTGACAGCTACAGTTTGGTATGTGCAGCTATTCTGCATGATAGGTATCCTTTTTAAGCTCTTAAGATTGCCCTCTAACAGCCAAAATCCCAACTATTTCCTCTTCTGGGAAAACACCTGGGTACAAATACATGGAGGGGAATCTCACAAAGATTGTGCAGGCAATAAGCTGATTGACCACCTTCTCCTTCCCCCCACGAAAGAGCTGTCTCTAGTCAGTCTGGAAGTCTTCGTCCCACCTTCTCTACCCATTCCAGGATACCACCTGGAGGCCACATTTACTAGACCCAATCATAAACAGCCGGTTGGAGAAAACACGAGCGTACTGATGTTAATGAAAATCAAGGCAATTGTCGAAAAGTAGATGAACTCACCCATAAGCAAAAAGGCAAATATAATGATTCATGTAACCACACACCAACTAATCTGACATCCATTTCAGAGGGGAAGATGAAAAAAAGTACAATGTTCAGTTGGTAATGTAATAAAATAACAGGAATACAGCAAACGCCCATCAAGACTTTTTGAAGTACACAGGAACATTCTCAACAACAATCTGGAAGGAGAACAAAATCTCTGCTGATATGTGTATAACACAATTAAAAATCTGATACAGTGAAGAAGTGCTTTAGGATTTCTAGTGCTTTTTCCCACCAAAAACAAAAGCAAGAGACTGATTATAACATTTACCTTCACAGGGAGATGACCCAAGCCACCCAGAAAGGAAGGAATAACTAGGAAAAACATCTGCCTGCAGGCTGGAATTGGACAAACTCCCATTTGAAGCAAGTCTGATTTTAAACAGATTTTGATAGTGACTAACATCTACTACCAATTACTAACAAAAGTGGTGGCACCTCTGCTTTCTGAAATCTCATAATTAAAAGTAGATGGCTTTTAGAAAGCCATCCTTAGCCAGCAAAAAGGCACAGGTCTCAAAACAGCAATCAAGCAGTCTGATTCACAGAGATATGTCTAGACGGTTAAATGATCTCTTTGAACTCAAAATTTTACAAATCTGAGTGTCAGTATAGACTCCAGAGATGGAAGGATGCAGACTTCAAATAAGCAAACCAGAACTTTTGCAGGTACTTGGGAACATGTTTTAGTTTTCCCTTGAAGGCTCTGTCTACTCATGGCAGATGGGATGACTTTAGCACAGACACATCCACTGCTGCTCCCTGCAGCCCTGCCCCATGGTTGTCTAGCCAGAACCATGGGGCTTTGCTGAGCTCCCATAACAGGCTGAACTTGCTCCAGCTCCTGCCCCAACCCCATTCCTCTTTGTAATGAACACGGAGCAACACAGTGCCAATCTCAAAACTACCGCAACAGTAGTCCCACTGAGGAGGGTACCTTGAGCTGGCCACAGCTCTGCAGCAGATATGATCAGACCTCTTCTTCTAAAGCAAGCTGCTCCCTCCCTTCCTCCCCCTAACAGAAAAGGGACTTCTTAAGCACCAAGAAACAGGTTTTCTTTGAAGAGGCACTAGAATAGATAACCATTTTTGTTAACAAACAAAATGCAGCATGAGAAAGCAGGGTCAGAAAAAGAGTAGTCAACAAATTGTCCCCCTGCCCATTGTGCCCATGCATCACATGTCTTTTTTCCACCTTGCTTCCAATCCAGCAGCTTGACAGGTTTGTTTCAGAGAACAAACAGAGAAAACTCTACATAGCCTCATCTAGGTCCACTGCAAACACCTTCTTTTCCAGAATACCTTGGAAGTTCAGAAGCATTTCTTCTTTCCCTTTCTGAGCAATCAGTCAGTTTCTTCCTTCTGCTGGGTTTTCCTCACCTTGCTCCCTTCATCCACTCCACACTTATTTCTTTAGAGCATGTGCAGTATGTCCTCCCTTTGGAGCACAGTCTCTCCTGTTCTGCACTCAGTCACCTCTTTAAAGCAATCATAAGAGAAAACACAGCGGCCAGACATGGACCATCTCTTTTGATTCCTTGCACAAGAGAGACAAAAGCTCAAGAGAAGCAGCAATCTGCCCCAAACCAATTCCTCAAAATCTAAATTTTACACAGACACACAATATGCTTAGCTCTCAGCAGACCAGAAGGCAGGAAGCGCAGTGTAGACAGCTCCAATGCAGATTGCAGCCTGAGCCACAAAACAGAAATGAGGTTCACGCAATGCTAACTAAGTGAGGTCACCTTAAAAATAACATTATAGGATTGGATTATGATAACCAAAAAGCCTAAACTCACCTATTTTGACAACACACAACCACTGCCTACTAGGAGTTTTGAATAAAGCTACTAACCCAACCAAATACAACAAAGTTCAGCTCATCAAAATAACACCTGCAAAGGTGTTTTCAAATGCCAGCCTCATAATGATTTAGCAAACAGTTACAAGCCCCATGAAATAAAAAATGAGACAAACACCCCATCCCCAAAAATCATAAATAAGAGGTTTCATTTGCAGAATTAAACGCTACATTTTCCTAAATTCATATAGGAATATGCTCTTCCAAAACTGCAGGCTATCTTTTGCTCCTCTAGACACACATACTTGGTGGTCAGAGAAGAAAGCCTCTTATGCCTCTAGACACACGATCTGGAAGCAAACAGTGGGGAAAGATACACTTTCTCTGCCAGAGCAAGGCACTGAATGACAGCAGTAGTGCAGCTTCCACCTTCTGCCAAAATGAGATTATTTGTGTGTGTGATCAAGCTGTCAGGAAGCACTTGAGGTCAGTTTTATCCTGTGGACAGAGCTGTGAACAGACCACACACAACTCACTGTACCTTACCCAGGAGGCCTGCCAGAGTCCGCATGTCCTTCTCCATCAGCGTGTACATCTCCTCCTCTGAGAAGCGGCCAATGCCATGGCCGTACATTTCCCGCTTCACGATTCCTTTGGTCAGATGGCAGAAGATCCACTTCAGCAAGTCGCTGAAGGGGCCAAAAAGAGAAACCATCTTTTGCGTCTCATGAAGATTTTCCACCCATTGGCAATAAGCTAAAGTCCTAAAAGGATGCAAAGATAAGTTATAGCAGTGTGATCCCCAGACAGCCCACCACCACTCTGCCAAGGCTCAGACAAAGGTCAGGCAGATGAGCAGTCACTGCCCTGATGGAGAGGTAGCAGAACAGCAGACCCTGTGGCAATTTGGAGTGACAGCAGAGCAAACCGACTTTGCAGTACTTACACCGACTGCCCAGTGCTTATTCTCTCAGTAAATAATGAGTCACTTCAACAGAAAATGAGATTCATATTGAAATATAAAACAAAAGTTGTAGAATTCTGCTAAACTCATGTAACAAAATGCAGTGCAAAAGGGATTTATTAGCTAAAGATGTCTGACTGCAAAGACCTGGGGAACACAATAACAACAAAACAGCCCACAAAGGTATCAATCTTTCTCACCAACCTGTTCTCCTTACTCTCTATACTCTGAAACTTAGCCAACCAATAACTTTTCTCCAACAATAATTTTTCAGAAGATCTCTCTTCTCCTTGGAAAGTAATGATGACACAATCTTTTAAAAATAAAATTTAAAAAATGAAGGGGTAGACGTTATTGGGTTGGTTTTCTGTTTCACATTTTCCTCTCTTCAAAATGTTGATTTTATGAGAGAGACATTTCTAAAGGATTCTGTTGTATCCCATGCTTTATTGAATGGCAAATAATATTCTTTTGAAAAGTCTTTTTATAAAAATTTGTCTCGCCAGCTAAAATTTTTATTTCCTACATGAATTTTTGGTTTTTAATAATATAGACAAATAAAAACTTGATTTGTTGCTGTTGCAACTCCAGAAACTCATGAAAAAAAGAAACATTAACTTTTTTAATAACCAGCATCTCCTGAAATTACAAACAAACCAAAGAGACCACATACACGACTTTTGTCATCAAGTTCAAAGGATGTTGGAAAAAGGGCTAAAGACATCTCAAAGTAGACATGACAGACATATGATGTCTGCAGGATCTCAGAAACACTGGGAGTTGGTACCCATATTCTATTAGGTTTGTAGCAATTTCCAAACGGAAAAAAACCTAAAAGTGGATTTACACATTTGGGATTGTATGAAAAGAGGTTCATGGAGACTGACAAACTAGGGAAGCTAGATAGAAAAGTTGATATTCATGTACACAATTATATTAAACACTGACTTAATAATCAAATGTTTCCATTTCCAATATGACCAGAGCTCCATTGCTTTAGTTTGGAATATGACTTCAGTTTAATCATTGTACATATTTATAACTCCACATAATTTTCTTAGTGCTGATATGGATCACCTAATTCAAAAAAGGAAAGGGAAAAAAAAAAAGGCAGTATCTCTTGAAGAACTCCTGTGACTTTTTTTCATCATGTACATTTTATCAAACTCCCATGTGTCATGGTAAATGCTGAATTCAGCACTACTATCAGGGAACAATTACATTTCCACCATGAAAATGTTCTAATATTTTAAATTTCCACAGATTCTTTACTTGAATTACTAATAACATGAGGTGAGAGTATTTTGCTGTAATAGCTGAAAACAACCCCACTTTGTGCTCAAATTTAGAATGCTCCCAAAAAAATGAGTGAAAAGTATTTTAATTATTTTAAAAGTTGCCCACAGCAGTTCAATGCCTTCTGCTCAAACTGGTTTCACTGAAGTTAGTAATAGTGAGGCATGCACAGGTTTTGCTGCAAATGCACAAACAATGAAGAACAAAAATGCACCTGCTATGCTTCTAATGGCTTTTACCCTCAACAGGTTTCTCAACAACCTCTTGCACTATAGTAATATGACAAAAGCATCCCGCTGACATTTCATACACTTCAATACCTCTCTTTGAATGGGGGCGTTCTGCACAACCCTTGTTTTTTAAACTGGATGGATCAACTCAAGTCATTGAGCTGGTTTCAGCACAGCAGAGTTTGAGACAGCCAGATTCAGCAGAGGAATTCAGCAACACAGGAGGAACATGAAGCCAACAAGCACAGCAGCAAATAGCTACTGAAACTCCTAAAGCATTAACTTTGTCTGGAAGATGTGGTGTGGGACTACCCTGCTCCAGGAACAAAGTAGAACAGTATTTAAGAAGGATGGAAAGAAGACTGGCCTAAAGCATAAGGGCACTCTATAGAGCGGAACATTGCAGTAGTCATGTTTCACAGCAAATACAGCTCTGAATAGGAAGAAAAACTCTGGTCTTGATGTGAACACTAGGAAATAATTACAAATACTATCTACACCACAGAATCATAGAACAACTTGGGTTGGAAGGGACCTTAAAAATCATCTGGTTCCACCCCCACTCCAGGGGCAGGGATGTTACCCACTAGATCAGGTTGCTCTGGGCAACCTGTTCCAGTGCCTCACCACTCTCTTCCTACCATCTAATCTAAAGAACTGTTCCCCCTTGTCCTATCACTGTCTGCCCATGTAAAAGTCAGTTTCCCTCTTTTCCCTAAGTGCCCTTTAGGTACTGGAAGGCTGCAATGAGGTCTCCCTTGAGCCTTCTCTTCTCCATGCTGAACAACTCAGTTCTCAGCCTGTCTTCACAGGAAAGGTGCTCCAGCACTCTGATCATCTTTGTGGTCCTCCTCTGGACCCTCTCTAACAGGTCCACATCTTTCTTATGCTGAGAACTTCAAAGCTCAATGTAGGTGGGGTCTGACAAACACAGAGAGAATCACCTCTCTTGACCTCTTTTGATGCAGCTCAGTATGCAGTTGGCCGCCTCACACTTTTGGCTCTTGTCCAGTTTTTCATGCACCAGAACACCCAAGTCTTTCTCCATAGGGCTGCTCTCAATGAGCTTTTCTCCCAGTCTGTAAGTTATTGCTTAATACTTGAACAAGCAAAGAAAAACTTGGTCACTGAAAGCACTGCTCTGTCATGCTGCAAAGACCCTCCTACCCCAGCATGGACCTGACCTGCTTCATCTGGCAACTCTGCAACACAACTTAGTTGCTTTAGGACAACAGGCTTGGCCTGGAGAAGGGCAACAAGAAGGTAAAACAAAACAGAAAAAGAAGACAGGAGACCTCACTGCAGCATTTTTTAAAAGTCACCCCAATTGCACAAGACTAACTTTGTCGTATGGACTTGCCACCACTATTGCTCACTCCAACCACACCAGTGAGCTGGCACTGCACCCTGAATGATCAACTTTGTCCAAGATGGCCTTCATTTCATAAAACAGAATCAACAAGGTTTCCCACAATGCTAATTAGCCTATACTTTAAAGCAAAAAGAGCTCACTTGCTCTTGGGGGAGAAGATCTTTGGGTTTTGAAGAGGCAGAAACCAGATCAGGTGTTTAACAACCAGGACAGCAACAGAAAACTGCACAGGATTAAGGTAATCCTGCTTAGGCTAAACTGTCAAGTACAAATCTTAAGACATCTGCTTGTCACTGTGTGCCTGAAAGTATTGTCCAAACACTTCTTGAACTCTGTCAGGGTTGGTGCTGTGATCACTTCCCTGGGGAGCCTGTTCCAGTGCCCAACCACCATCTGGGTGAAGAGCCTTTTTCTAATACCCAATCAAAACCTTCCCTGATGCAAGTTCAGGCCATTCCCTCAGGTTCTGTCACTGGTCACCACAGAGAAGAGTTCGTGCCTGCCCCTCCTCTTCCCCTATTTACCTTATTTACCTTCTGACTTTGAACAAGTAGAACTGTCAGATGTCCCAAATCTCAAATGTACAGGGGCAACAAAGATAGCTAAATAGAAAATCAGAGTTTGCTTCTAAAATTTTATAGCTCTAAGTACACAAAAGCAAGGAAAAAAGTAGGCTCAGATTCACAGAGAGTTAAAAACACTTTTAAAACTGACTTTACAAGCACTCTGTTAAAAGAATTCTATTCAAAAGTTCATTAATCTGTTTCCTACCAAAATATGCTTCTGAGCACTTAATTTCACCCATCACTCCTCTGCTCAGAATACATCAGTAGAGTATTATCAACATTACAAAATATTAGGAAATGCCAGAAATTGGGTAGTCTACAAAATCTACTTCAGCAACGCATAACTATGTGTTTTATACTACAGTTAGTATTTATGGGATGACATAATTATTTTCAATATTGGCCTGAATAGAATATTTTGGGAAACATTAACACTCCCATTTGTGCCAGCACATCTGTACAAATGTTAGAGTATAAATGAAAAAATAATGCATTAAAGAGCAATGCTGTGGAGGTGAAGTAAATCCGAAGTCTAAATGTAACAGCAGCTTTGGCCTCAATACATAAATCAGGCGAGGAGATGAAGAAAGTGACTCATCAACAGCAGCTTGCCTGATTATCCCAAAACAGTCTAAACACCAAGGCAAGGGGAAAGCATTCACAAGGATGTGAACTGGGGGTTATTTCTCCTATCTGAACGTGTGCAAACCAGAATTTCTTGATACACAAAAGGATTATAACAAATTCATTCCACAATCAGCAGCAGAAACTCCACCTGCTGTGCGACTTCCCAGAGCAACTGGCTTCTATGCCACCAGTAGCACTCAAGTCTCATCATTGTTAGCAGCAGGAGAGACACTGCGCTTACAATCGGCTTGATGTATTTAAACATATTTACATTATAAACATATTTTATGTTTAACACATGGCAGGTCTGAACACTGACCAGAGTCATATTCATTTGTATTCTCATACCATGCTTTTCCTGTACTTCAAGCACTCAAGTCACATATGATGTTTACAGGTTCTTCTTGAAAGACAAAGCAAGAAATGAGTCAAATACATATATGCGTGGATATGTGTGTGTGTGTGTATATATATATATATATACACTTACAGTATATATATATATATACTACACTATACTTATCACTACAGTTGTGTTTGACAATACAGCTTTAGCAATCTAATGGGATAGTCTGCTTAAGCTGAATATTCAAGGCTTTATGGTCTAGCTAAGCACATTAGTGCCACCGACCTAAGATCCCTCTCGTGAGATTAAAGTGACAGGAGGCATCTCACAGAGACTGCTACCCCTCTAGGCACCAGGAGCTGCCTGGCCTGAATCCCAGCAGTGTCATCAAGCCCAGCATGCCAGTTCCAGAAGGAAGTGAGGATCACACCCATCCTACATAGAGGTCCGATCCCATGAACGTGCTGCAGATACGCCAAAAACTCAACGCATCCCCAAAGGTGGCTGTGGGTGCCCTGCTAGTTTCTGAGGGCCCACAGGTCACTGCAGGCAGTGGAGGAGACCCAGAGCAAGCCTACAGCAGATGAGTGGTCTGCCCTGGATCCAGGACCTGGGGTGAGAGCCACAAAACTGTTCCACTCCCATCTCTTCCCTGCTGGTTTGGCCCAACACCCATTCAGGTTAGCAGGCTTTTTTTCTTTTGCAAATTTAAACATAGCAAAAACCTAATGGTTATGGCATTCTCCAGGGGCAGGAGCTCCAGCATCAGCTCCGAATCAGTCTAGTGCATCTCACAGATAATGCTCTAATCCCAGTACAAAAATAAGCACACTCACTCACTGTTTTTCTGCCTGACCCCTGCCAGGTGCCAGTCTGGGCTGGAAGCAGGGTGTCCACAGGCTGAGGTTCACAACAGTCCTACACTGCTCTTGGGTCCAGCCAGAGCAGCCACTTCCACCTGTAAGGGGCACCAACTGGTGAAGATGAGCAATTACCTCAGCAAAAGCCAAACATTTCCAGAGGAATGCTGAGCACCCACCAGGATTAGCTCCATCCAGAGACAGCACACCGCAGGATGTACTTCACTTCCTTGTTCGATAAATGTAACGCAGTATTACTTATTTATGATGAAGTTACTTTGCATGCTGCTGGCAATAAAACAGTACCTATCACATTTTCTATCACTGCTTTGGAGGCTTGATAAACCTTATTCTGCAGACAGGCATCACTGTGTTACAAATTCTTTACTGTGGGACTGAAGGACAAAATGAACAAACCCTAAGCTTCTGGTGGGAAGTAGGAAGGTTCAGGGACTGATGGAAAGGGATCCCACAACCACAGATACAATGCTGTCAAGGAGAAGTGCGGCCCTAACATAGCGAAAGCCTTGGTTTATTTTGGTTTAACTGTAAGGTGGTCAGAGTTGTTATCCAGGAATTACAGCAATACAATTGCAATGCCTTGTGACTCAGGCTTTGCCCAGTACAGGGAACACACATGGTATAACCTCACCAACACACCAAGCCTCTGTTACAGCCACACAGCAGGGACATAAAGTAACACTTGCAGCTGGATGTTTTACTACACTGCAGCAAAAATACATGCCTTGGAAAAACTCAACTGTGTGACTAGACAGGAAAGGCAACAGGGATACACAGCCAGGCATGCACATCTCTGTCCTTACTCGATGTAACTCTGTCCACCCATTTGGACACCACCTCCCTGGGTCAGTGCCTGAATTTGCAATACCTGTCCTCCACACTCCCCTGTGTCATGTCCAGCAATGCCAAGTCTGCTCTGAGGGAGTCTGGATGGACAGACAAAAGCTTCACAGAACAAAGCACAAGTTTGCAATTGAGAGACAACAGCAGTATTAGCTTGTCAGTAGTAATGATACATTTAAAGCAGGTAAATCTGTGAACCACGAAACAACCAACACTAAGGCAGAGAGATGAAGCATTAGGGAACTAAAAGGCTTCATCCTCCCTTTGGCAGCTATAGTAACTGAAGGTGGAAAAATGAAGTAAAGGTTACATTTGCAGGCTGCTTGTGTCAGGTTTTTGAGGCTATGACACTGCAGATGGGTATAATTGGTGAAGGTCACGCTTCCCGGAAGGCAGAGATTACATTTCTAAATCAAATCACTTCAATCTGGCTACTTAATGCTAAATTTGTTCTGAGGAGACACTAAAAATTATTTGAAGAACTATATGTTCACGTGTTGCTGCTCATCTTTGATCACAAGGTGAAAGAAAAAGCAGATAAATGCGTTCAATTTAAAATCACACATCGTTTCTAAGAAAAGAAGCGCAACGTAAATGCAAAACTTAGTATAGCAAGGGCTTTAATCCATACTAGAAAGCACAGTATCGGGAAAAAGCCTTGTGCCTGCTGAGGCAGCATATGCAGCATCCCAGATGCCATGTCCACCTGATACTTCTATGAATTCAGTCTGGATAGGGCACTTAAAAAGGACTGAAACATAAAGCAAGAGGAATGACAGGTGTTATTTTCAAAGGTGTCAGTAAAATGCATAAAGTACCATTTCTATTTTCCATTCATATACATAGTTCAGCTTTTCAGGATACTGTGATTAATACTGTGTCCTATCAATTGGCAGTACCGTCAACAATACATATTAACAGGAGTATCCTGTGTTACAAGGAAAGGCAATAATCCATATTGTAATCACACACACATAATTAAGATCAGTAACTGTAAGAACACAATATTCCAGATTCACTACAGACACTGGATTTGTTCCCCTGCGTCCCCAAACCACAGATGTATTCAGCCACCTTGATCTTTTGCTCTTTACTAAAAAGACTGTTCCTATATGGAGGTCACACTAAACAGGAGGAAGGAACATCCCACTGCTGCTTCCTTCTACAAAGCTGCAGGCAAAGGGCCTGACTTTACCTTCCTTACACAGCATAACAAATTCTCAGGGGAATCACCCCTGGCTCATACTAGCGTACACAAAAAGCAGCAGCGGTTTTCTAGGATGAAGAAAGTTGTGAAATTAACAGTTGGGTACCCAAGCTTTCTGCAAGAGAAAATAAGCACTCGTGTCCGGGTACAAGCTCAGGGGCAGAGCTGACAGCACAGGAATGCAGCCAGCTTTGCCATGCAAACTTACCAGTACAAGTGCTCCTCCACCATTTTTGTCACAGCTCTGGAAACAGCTCTTTCATGTGGACCAAGGTGTTTATTTAAATTCACTCCAAGCTTCTCTTCCAAAAAGTCAATAATGAACTCGGTGCCAGATACTTTCTTGTGATTGTATTCAATCCAAGGCATTTTCCCTTGAGGGGAAAGTTTTCCATCAAAATAGTTCTAAGGAAAAAAAAAATCAAGTAAACAAACAAATATACAGACAAAAAAGACCCTTCAGATTCTGTTTCAATGAAAATAAAGATTTTAAAATAATGTTCTCTCTGTTTAAAGCCAACATTATCCAACAAACTTTTTTTTCTAATTAATACTCTAGAGCAGCAGTAGCTATTCAACCAGAGCAGCAGTTTTACCCTATGTGACAATTCAAATAAAACTACTTCCAGGCCCTGAAAGGTGTTACTCGCTTTTATGCTGGATGCCATGTGATGTAATATTATTACATACCCAGGTTATTTAAGGGTTGGAGATGCTCAGATCTCCCAGAAGACTGGATTAGTTATTCTAAACAAGTTTTTAATCACAGGACTCACAACTAAATTTGGTTCTTGCACGGAGCTGCACTTTTCATGTTAAAAGTACTTTAAAAAAATTAATTAACTCCCTAACACAGATGCCTGCATTACCTCCAAGGATAAAACACACACTATCACAAGCATATACAAAAGGCATATCATTCCCTTACTGAGCAGGAAGGAAATCTGCTTTCTGCAACTTCAGAACTTAGAAATCTCACACATTCAGAAAACATACTTGTTACAACTGTGTCTCCAAGAGCCCAGCACAGAGTACTGCACTACTGCATTGCTGAATACTGGAGAGGAATACTTGCTCAGTAGACCTCTCACGCAGAAGTAGCAATGTATTTTCCCTATTGGAGAAGGTGAAACACAGAGATTACAGAATTTATGTCTCCTCTGACAAACTAGAGAGGAATTGCTGGCTGCCAAAACGTGATCAGATATTTGGCTTCAATTCTCTTACTCCTGACAGCAGAGACACAAGGCAGAACTTTTCTTCCTTCTTTGTGATTCTCATTCCCGCATCCTGTTATTTAGTGAATGAAAATTCCTAGCCTAGATAGCTGAACCATAAAGGCTTACAATAAAGGCTCTGCACTCAAGTCTGGAGGTTCAGGGCTTGCAGTTCTGGACTGATCTGTTTGGGTCTTATTTACCCTTCCTGAATTCACTTAAGGTGGATTAAGGTACTCTCACAGCATGGAGTGTATACCAGAACATGCCTCCCACTCAGTCTGAAAGCACCAGCACCCTGTTACCACTCAAAATGCAGATGTGCAATGCACTACAATCATGCAGCCATTCCCAGAGATTCTTCTCTTGTGGATGAAAACAGACAAATGGGTAACACTGCTGGGAAACAATGCCTTCTGGCTCTAGCCTCTTCTGGGATTTGTGCCCAAACAAACAGCATGCAGGGATACTGGATTATATAATGTCTCATCTACCACACCTCTGCATGGGTGAACAAGGCACCTGAATCCCTCCTACTTGCATGTGTGGGTGACATGGGGATCATTTCCAATGGAGAAACTCTAAAAGCACTGCACATCCAAAACAAAGGAGAGCACTGCCCCGTCCTTTCACCTTCCAAGGCCTTTCCTTCATCAAAGAGTCTTTCAGCACTGAGACTGACTGACAGAATTCCATAATTTTTCATTATGACTTTACTACAGAAGCCCGAGTTTTTTCTGGAACTACACAGTGTGTCTAGAAGGCACTAAGCACTGCTGGTTTAATCTTCGTTTATTTCCCTTCTTGAGCACAAATATGGATGTTTTGCAGAAGCTACTGGACTTGAAGCTGTGTTTATTACATCTTGCAATTACTACAGTCCATACAATTCACAACCCAGAAAAAAGCAAGTTGTTATTATTCAACTGCACATTTCTTCAAGCACATATATCTAAAACATATAAATACATTGCCTAAGAAGATTTTCATGTTTCACTACATATGGTTTATCAAACAAAACAGGAAACATCTTTCAGTGACCTGAAAAAACCTTAGTTTCTTGAGAAATCTGTTATACTGTTCTTGTATTCACTGTTCTCAAATGGGCATTTTTAAGCTTGAAACCTCAGTACCCTTATGGCTGCTACTAATTGTCATCAAATATTTATCAATTTTCCACTTAAAAATTGTTTCAGCTGCAAAGTAGGGAAAAGCTATGTTATTGTTAAAAACCAAAAAAGAAACCAACAAAATATTCCTTCATACCTCACAGTACATTAACTGAACTGCAGCCTGCAAAGCAACAATAACAATAGCTCCACAGAACATCGTTTATAGAGGAATTTATAAAAAGAATGGCACAAGGCATTACTGGGGTAATTTTATAGTATTTGCCAGAAGAAATTAGGTTTCACATTTTCAATTACTGGTGCTTATGCTTTTACTTTTACTCATGTCTCTTCTCAAGAAGGCTACCATCTTCACAGACCTGGCATGAAAACAGCACATTTCTGCTCACTAATTATTTATCATATTACATAAAGGCTCAGCTCCTCATATTCTTGAGGAAATCAAGGAACATCCAAAACATCTCTATGAGCACCCAGAATGGCCTCTCTCAAAGGAGGCTTTATCAAGAAAAGCATCAAACATTTTGAAGAAACAGCTAGGCATTGTGACAGCCCAGCCAGGGTGGGGCTGGCCAAATAATTTTTGATGGAGAACTCGCACGTAGAAAGGTAGCTTCAAGAAAATGTAAGCACATTACAAGAGTGCATCTGTTGGAAGAAAATCAGCTGAAAGCAGGAATGTGTCACCCTACTCCAATCCTCACACACCACTCAGGCACATTGTGAAACACACACAGCACATTATTTAACAGCCTGATGCACTATAATAAACATAAGCAATTGAAAAAGTAAAAGCAGTCTGACCACCTTGCTGCCTTCTCTTCACTCTATTACACAACCCTCCCTTCCAAGCAGCCTCTCCCTGCAGGGTGATGACCACAGCAGGTCTCCTGAGAGGAGCACCAGCTGCCACCTGCAGTGCTTCTTCATCACAGCCCCTACCAGCACACAGGAAGCGAGGTGTTTCCTCCTGTATCACGCTATACCCCACACACACACACCACACACCCGCTGCTGCCTGCCAGGCAGCCATCACATGCCTTTGTCACCTACAGCATCCTACAGGTAACACAGTCATGAGGGAACAAAATAAAAGTCTCCAGGTACTTTGGTATAGAAAACTCCATAATTCCAGCCAAGAATAACATTACCTCCTGCTCCACTCCCACTCAGTCCCACAGCAGCATCCTCACCTTCCTCCACCTGCCAGAGTCCAATGCAGCAATGTACTCAGGGACAGAAATAAAATCTGCTTCTTCCAGAAAAAAAAGCTGCATCTTCAGCTCATAAGTTTAGCTCCACCAAACTTACCTCTAAAACCCTACAAACACCTTAAACCTCTATAAGCCAGCATGGCTAAAAGCAGCAACCTGGCATTCCCAGCACCTGCGGGACCCATTCCTGCTCCTGCAGCATAGCACATGGAGCATGTGGGAACCAAGCTGGATTAAAACCAAATTAACTAAACCTCCCTGGCTCCAGCTAGGCCAGTTGCAATCCAGCCTGATCTGCCACAGAAAAGCACGAGTAGGAAGGGACAAGAGGAAGCAGCTGAAGGTAGGACTATCGCTTTTGATGGTCCTGCTGATCTATGCCGGCTTAGTGTGCTCACAGCTAGTGAGTTGGGATAAAGAGAGATGCAACACCAATAAGCAATCCCGACCTTCAGTCCAGAAAATAAAGAGGGGAGGATAACCCTTGTAAAATTCCTCTCTTTCGGAAAAGCTGAGTGAATCACTTATAACCAGCATGAGCTCCCGAAACGACTCCGTCCTGAATCACACAAATGCACAATGTCATCTTTTAGAAGTAAGTGACCACATCTTGTCACAACCATCTTTTATACTGCAGCTTTCTTCAGCTACTCTCCACCAGAGCAACCTTGACCATCACAAACCTTTAAACTGCATCAACTGCCATTAGGAAGAAAACAGATCTCACCAATATTGTCTTCCCTTCAAACATGCAATTTCTACCCAAATTACTTTGGGTGGAGAGGCGATGTGCACAAAGTCCTCCTGCTCCAATAGCATGTACAAACTTCAGTATCTTGCAAGTTCTGTAAACCTAAATGAGGAAAATACATCCCATGGGATGGAAATCTTCCTCTTTAGTAATCCAAAGTATCTGATTCAAGTACCATTAAATTGTAAGATAACGAACATTAAACTCAGGCCTTTTATACAGAGTTAAGCAAAATGTACTCATTAGGTTTTCTTTCACTTCTGATGTAAAGAAATTTAATCACAAATGAAGCTGAATGAATAACAACTATGAATGTGCTTAAAAAAAAAAGTTGTAATAGGGTTGGTTTTCCTATGTAGAACACTGGACATAAACAAAGCATTCTTCCTAACATCTTGCAGACATTTCTTCTACCAAAGATCCAAAGATCTTAATTCTATCTATCATCACTGTTGCATCATCTTAAATGCAATCAGTGCTTAACACAAACAAAAAGAAAACCACCCTGTTTTAAAGAGCCCGTGTGCTGTACAGCCTGCCAACACCACAACAAGGTGTGCGCCAAACTCGCAGTGTCACAACTAAACCCTTGATGCTAATGGGCGAGACTGAGAGATCCAAGTTTCCACTCTCATAGCTTTCATTCACTGGAGAAGCTCGGGCTTCATCATCCCCTGTGGGAAGATGGCATGAGAAGCACCCAACCACAACTACAGAGCAGTATTCATGACCTCTAAAAGAAAACCCGTTTTACCTCACCGTGGAGGAAGCACCAGTCATGGGAGGTGAAGCAAAAGGCAAGCACTTCTTCCCAGGAGAGCTCCATAGAAAAACCCTCCAGGAAAATAAGAAGCTGCAGCTATCTAATCATGATGTCTTCAGCATGGTGAAATTCAAAGATCAAATAATGTTACACTTTAGTTCTGGGATGTTATTTAGTGTTATAGAAACTCCAAACTACTCTCCCACTTCAGCATTTCCAGCCAAGTTAACTTCTTAACATTCATTTAGCTGTGCCAGTTCAATCTCCAGCTGTTCCAGACCAATGTTATTCAAGTCACGTCTTTAAAGGCTATACACCATATTTAACTGGAGATATAAAAGTGCTGGTGTACCCACCCAGTTGTAGGTGTATGTTTACATCTCCCTGTGTGAGACAGACTGGGGGGGAGGAGAGATGGGATGCCTATGTGCCATTTCACGTAATTACAGCAAGCTGCAATGCAAAGGCAAACTGCACAATTTACCTGGTAGGGTAAATCAGCCATCCTCAAGTATGTTTCCATTTTCAGACAGAATGGCGATAAACTCGGAACACCATTCCTAGGCCTTGAAAACTGATGCAGTATGATAGCATCTTTTGAATCAAGCTCTTCCTCTTTCCTGTCAAAAATGAAATGGAATTTAAAAAAAGGAAACACTGGACAGGTGCATGATACATCAGTAAATTAAATACACAAAGGAGAAACCCTGGCCAAGACAACACACTCGTCCGTCTTTAAGGGGCTGCTGCAGGTTTTGATTGCCTGGGTCCGGAGGCGGTGGGAGGGCCCAGCCTGGACCACCTGTGGGGGCAAGCGCAGGGCTCGCCTCCTGGGCTGCTGCGAAGGGCGAACGGGGGGAAAAGGGAAATAAAAAAAAAAATGGCAAAAACACGGTGAAAGACAGAACCCAACCCGCCGGACCCCGACGGCCTGCCCCCGCAGGTACAAGCGGCTCCGAGCGCCGCTTCATCCCGGCGGGAACGCCCTCGGCTTCCAGCGCCGCATCCCCCGCGTCGCTCCCGCCCGGCCCGGGCGGCCCCCGCAGCCTCACCGAATGGCCAGCAGCTCGTGGAGCAGGTACGCGGCGGCGGCCAGCAGGGCCCCGCCCGTCAGGTACAGCGTTTTCTTCCACCAGGAGTCGGAGCCCAGCGCCGCCATGGTGCCGCCGCCGCCCGACAGCGGGAAGGCGACGATCTCGCCCCCATAGAAGGCGGGCGGCGGCTCCTCGGGCCCCGCGCACCAGCCCAGCGACAGGCTGCGGTTGCGGCTCAGGTCCGCCACGCAGGAGCGCGGCGCCGCCAGGCCCACCCCCCACAGCATCCTGCGCCCGGCTCCCGCATCCCCCGCCGCGGAGCCGCCGAGCCCCACCTGCCCTGCCCTGCCCTGCCCAGCCCAGCCCTGCCCTGCCCTGCCCTGCCCTTCCCGGCACGGCGGCTGGGAAGGGCCGCGCCGCGCTGGGCGGCTGCGGCGGCTCCCTCAGCCAGCGCTGCGCGGCTGCGCGACGAGGCTGGGGAGGGAGGGGATGGGCAGGAGAGGGAGGAGGTGGGGTGGACCGAGTCGGGTCTGTCCTGCCCTGCCCTTCCCGGCACGGCGGCTGGGAAGGGCCGCGCCGCGCTGGGCGGCTGCGGCGGCTCCCTCAGCCAGCGCTGCGCGGCTGCGCGACGAGGCTGGGGAGGGAGGGGATGGGCAGGAGAGGGAGGAGGTGGGGTGGACCGAGTCGGGTCTGTCCTGCCCTGCCCTTGCGGAGTGCCCGGGCCACGGTAACCGCTGTACGGAATTGAGGGGGAAAAGACGACGTGTCACGCCGGGGGGGTTGCGTGTG